TCCTGGCACGGCCAAGGTGCACCAAGGTCACTACGGCAGAGAACACAGCAAAGAGACTCACTTGCCTTGCGTTGTATTATGCTTTATCAAAGCGTGCATGCACCTTTTGCATTAGATGTTTACAGGGACTTGTTTGTTTCTAAAGCTGAGGAAGATTCTTCGCTCTATGCAGAAGAATCGGGAGGAGGATAACAAATGAGTGCCATGAATGCTGGGATCTAATTTGGTTTTCCAACAGCTGAAGGATTCAGTTTGCTGTTGGCCAGCTGAAGCTTTGGATTTGAGCTTGTGGGGAAACAAGCTATGCCTACCTAGAAGGGTCACCACGTGCAAAGCATGTGAAACGAGAACAAACAGTGAAAGATTGCTGCAGCTGCTTAACTCTGGATTTCTCCAACCCCATGCAGCACAAGAGGGTGATGTCACTTGGTTCACTTGTCCTTCGTGCCAGGCAAGAACCGCCCAGTGAAGAGCCTCCTGGAGAACACTGCACGGCTTGTTGCCAGTGGAGCTGGGGGCCCAAAGTTCCAGCTCGTCCTTCACCCTCCCTTTGAGTCTTGTGCACGATGCTTTGCTAAGAGCCTACTGTTTCTTTCTGCAGCCATCAGCCATCTTCTTTTGGGTACAATGAGAAAGGTACATGCTGTAACTCTTACCAGGGCTTGTGTGCAAAACATTTGGAACATGTTGGAACTGTTCGCTGAACCTTTGCTACAGCCTAGCCATGGATGGTTCCAACCCCGATGAGTCCGATGAGGATTTCTTGATTGAATTACTTTCCTACCAGTGCCCTCGCACGGGCCAAAAGAGGGTAGCAGGATTGGACAATCCATGTGAAGCTCCAGAAGAAAAACGCATGAAGTCTTTTGGATCGAAATCCAACATCCAAACCCTTTTATGCTCATTGTTGATGTGGGCTTGTGATGTTTCAACTTTCTCCCAATGCTTCACTGCCCAGCTAAGGATTAGTCCAGAAGAGCCCAAAATTGAACCAGGTTTCCCTATGGACTATGAAGAGATGCATATGGACTATTTCACCAGAGGGGAAGGATGTGCCCTGGAACCCCGTCCTCGTCCACCTGCCACTCCTCTTCATCACATCATAGAGAAGGAACCTGGGCAGTGCTCATGAGTTAGCATCCAATCTCCAATTAGTTCTCCAATTCTCTGGGTTTAGTTTTTCCTTTTTCTTGCAGGACAAGGAGGACTTTGTTGGAGCACTATTGAGCATTTCTGAAACATTCAAGACTGAGTCTTTTCAGTGGGACTTGGTGCAATCCTTGGGGGTTGTTGCCCGCTTTATGGCACAAAGTGCTGTAAAACCCACAGCTGGTAGGTTGCTGACGCATTGCCGGGAACAAATCACATGTTTCCGGGAGAAGATTGGACTCAAAGTTTGCATTTTCAAGATTGGTGTTTCAGAAAACCCCGTGTTCCGCTTTTCATCTTATGTAGAGAAGGGGTGTGAAACCATGTGGGTTCTTGCCACTTCCCAAAGTGTTGACCAAATCCATATGTTGGAGGCCGCATGTATCCAAGAATATGCCAAGCATGTGGGCTGCAGAAACAAAGCTGGGTCAGGTGGTGAGGGAGGATTGAATAGAGTGGGGTCCTCCCCTCCTTATTACCTGTATGTAGCAGGGGGGCGTGCAGATAAAACTGGCTGGGCAATGTGATGCCATTGTTTTCCGCTTTTGTTGGGTTTTGAGGTGCAAAGCACCATGCGACATGCGAGGGGATTACAGTTGGGAGCTGGCTTGGGAAAAGGTGTGGGTATCAATCATGGGGCAAGCTACTCATCACGATCCAGTTTCCTTAAGTCCATCCGGCTTTTGATTGGCCGAGGTCCCATGCAGCCATGTGGTGCAGCTTGCCAAGGCGGAAGTCAGGGAAAATGCAAATCCATCTCAAGCTATGAGACAGCTGGCTCGCATCAATGAGGATGATGCAGAAGGTGCAGTCCACAAGCTGTTCAAAACTCATGGACTTGTTCCCCCAGTGGAGATCACTGAAGTAGACTTGGGCTTTCCCAAACTGAACAAGTTTCCTGTTTTGAAGCTGACCGATTGGGTACAGTATTTGCTGGACAGTGGTCAGCTGTGGCGACAAATGACTGGCTGTAGCACGTATGAGAAAATGACCTCTGTTTTGACTGAATTTTGGAACCGGTTCCGAGTACTTTTCCCAGATCATGGCATTTTTGATCTGGCTTCGCAAGGGACATTAGATTTGGAATGTACTATTCCGGTCTACAGTCACACTGACGAAGGTCGCTCCTTGAAGAAGCAACCGATTTGGATGATAAGTGTTCATGGATGTTTGGGACGAGGCTCCCGGCCCTTTCTGGAGACTGGACGCGGCAAAGCTCCACTATTGCGCAACAGCATGGGCATGAACTTCACCGGGGGGGGCGTTCTCTACTCATTTTATTTTTGCAACCATGTTGAAGTCCGTTTCGGATTGCAATCCAGGAAGCCTAGACAAGCTCCTGGAACTCTTTGCAAAGGATGCAGAGGCGATGCTTCGCCAAGGTGTTACCTCAAAGGATCTCTCCAAACAGGTCTGGCTTTGCCACCTGAACACCAAGGGTGATTTGCCTGCATTGAGCCGCTTAGGTTCTTTCAAACGAACGTTCTTGAGAGCCCCAAAGGCACAGGCCAGCAAGAAGCCTGCTTCTGGGATTTGCCATCTGTGCCTCGCAGGAGTTGAAAGAGTCTCCAATAGATCCAGGAATGAATCACCTTGGCCTTTTGAGGAACTTAGCATGCAGCCTGCGTGGCTGCAAACTCTTGGGCGAGAAGATCCCTGGGATGAGTTGCCTACCATCTTGCGGGGTGTAAGCATGGGAAACCGGCCGCTTCCTTTCTTCTTCGCAGTTGATTTGTGGCATTGTTACCATTTGGGCCTAGGCAAGCACTGGATTGCCTCATCACTGGTGTCCATCATTGAGACCCTCCCTTTGCCCAATACAAACTCAGTTGTTGACAAGCTGGAGTGGGTGAATCAACGTCACCAAGAGTTCATTCGTGTGGACAAACCTTGTGGGTGGATTCGAAAAATTGACAAAGACTACCTCAATTTTCCTTCATCCAATGTTTGCCCCATTGGCAGTTGGAACAAGGGGTCTGTTACTACGCATCTTATGAAATTCTTGGAATGGCTTTGTGACCAACATGTTACAGGGAGAACCGATAGTGAGCTGCTCAGAAGTATTGTTTCTTGGCTTTGCCCTCTTTGTTTAGCTTTCCGCTTTTGTTGGGGTTGTTCGTTCCTATGTTGCTAGGCTCGGTCGTTATGTGTGACATTTGCAACTGAGGATGTGGGTACAAAGGCGATGAACACAGCGCTTTCTGCCATGTTCAGTGAAGGGTTCTGGATCCGTGCCCACAAAGCCAAGAAGATCGCTCACTGGATTCTATGGTTTTTGTCAGCTTACCAAAAAGCTGCATACTTGACGTTCATGGCTGGGAAGAGTCGTTTTGCACTCATTCCAAAAGTACACTTCCTTCACCATGTTCCCATAGAACTCCTTTCCCAATGTGAAAGGGGCGAGTGGTGCATAAACCCACTGACTACTTCGTGTCAAATGCAGGAGGGGTTCATTGGAGCCCCTTCAAGGGTATCACGTAGAGTATCAATTCGACAGGTCCATCTCAGGACTCTTCAGAGGTCCCTCCTAATCTGTCATGAGAGCTTGCAGGGAGCTCTATCTGACATCAGGGGCATGGATGCTTATGGTCCATGATAGAGCAGGTGACACTTTCAGTTTGCACAACCCTTTTGAAGCCAAGCAGCATGGCTCGTGATGAGCTTGTCCACCGCACCGTCGAGGATGAAATCAGGGAAGTGTGCTGAAGGATGTGTGGGGGGGAGGGTTCTTAAAAACAAGAGACTTGTGAAGGAGGAAATCCTCATCAATTTAGTCAATCACCTTCTGATCTGTAAAAACCTACAAAAGGCGTAAAGACAGGTTTTTTTGAAAGGGACGTATTTTGGCAGAAGGGGCCGTATTTGGAATCAATCTTGGCTTGGACCTAAAAAGGCAGCACAGAATGGGCCTAGGTATATACTACTCTATACTATATGATAATACACGATCGATATGATACTATATCATGATATATACTTTCTAGCCCCAGGTCGACGAGATGCGGTGCGGCGTCTCCTCTGTTTATTTCCACCTGATTCCGGTGTCCGGGTGTCATCGACTTGGATCGACTTGGGAATGGGAGGTAAAACACGGCTTTTCATGTGTTTCCCGAATGTGTAGCGAAGGGTTCTCGTTTAACTTTGGGGGGTCCCACAAGAGTGTCCCAAAAGAGTGTCTCGCAAGAGCGTCCTATACAAGAGTGTCCCTCGTGGGTTCCATCTTGCTTTTTCCTCATTTTCCTTGATGTTTGTACCCATGTAGGCTGCTGGCTAGACCATACGACTGTGTGAAGTTTAAAGGACAAAGCGTTTGGATCCAGCTGTACCTATCTCCTGGGGCAAAAGTGTTTGTCTCAGTTCAATTTGCCGAAGGGATCTTCTATGTTGTGCTGGTCCTTTGCCACCGAGTTGGCCCAACCATGAAATGTTCGGTTGCTTTTCACTTATCATGAAATTCGTGGGTTGCTTGAGCCGTTTTTGGTGTCAAAAAGAGTTCGGTGTCCGTGGAGGTGTTTTCTTTGAGGCGTTGCACATTTGGCACCTGCTTGGGCTTTGAGCGGATTCTATCTCGAACCATGTCAGAACCTTTGAACCCAATGTCCCCCCAAAGCGGGGACGGAACCCGACAGCACTCCCGGATCCATCAGCCGGTTGACAGCCCAGCCGGTTTTCCACATTACGCGAGTTGTGAGGGTTCATGAGGGTTCAAAACATCAAAAAAGTGTTTGTTTCTAAAAAACGAATTGTGTAAGTTGGTCCATGATGGGTCTGCAGCATTCCATGTTCGAAGACTTTGGGTTTAACACTTGGGAGGGAAACCCCGGCTCCAGCCCTGGATTCACCTCCCACAGGCCGCGGCTCGGGTCCTTTGATTCTCTGTCCTCGGTGCTTCCCTAAGGCACCGTTTTTGGCCGTGTTCGGCGGTATGGGGCCGAAGGATTGGAGGGAATTCCCACGAGGATTGGCATGTGTTTGACTTCAAAGCATGGGATTAACCATGACATATCATGACGATCCAGGGTGGCAAGGTACCATGTGGAAACCCAAACATTGGAGGGACTTCGCACCGAAAAATGCTTTTGGGTTGGACGTCAAATCATGGGATTCGCCCATGACATGCCATGTACCTCCCAAAAGCAGAAGTGATGCAGGCCATGGATCCTTTGAAATACTTTGACATGACCACAAGAAGAGAACTCTGGCTGACTCAGTTGAAGGTGAAGGTCGAGTCGGTCATGTTTTCGGGGAGTCACCGTTCACGGTCCCTTCCAGCGCTGCGAATTCATGGATGAACATGGATGAACCATTCAGCCCGACTGGAGGTGTTCATGTTCCGGCAAAGAAAGAAGCGAAACAGCGGCAGGTATGCTGTCCTGAAATTGATTCCTAGTCTGTGCTTTTGAACAAAGTGCCGGGCAAGGCCGGAATGGGTTGCTAAGGAAAACCCTACGGCACTAGGGCAGGGATAGACCAGTGGATAGACCCCGTTGGCAACCACCCACTCATACCCACCGTCCCACTGTCCAGAGACGGATGGTTTAGTCAGCCCGGTCTGACTCCTGGACCACCCGGACTCAGCATCACCCGTTTTGAGTGTGTTTTATGGACTTGTATTGTATAACTACCCATTTATGTATACGTTTCCAGGTATATGCCTTGCAAAGGATCCAGTATACCTTTAAATGTTTTGACAGATACTTGGTGGTGCAACTGCACTGCAACTGCATAGAACGGAGTTCTGTATGTTTGAGATCGTGCAGAACGGACATCTGAAAAAACACATATGAAGAAGATATTGCTCGAAGATGTCGCTTTGAGGAGAGCGACCTCCGCGCCTGAGAGTGGTGCACGTGGACTACGGAGGCATGGACGACGCGGCATGCTAAAGGATCGGCCTGAAAGAGACTCAGCTCCAACTCCAAACAAGACTGGGCAAAGGTTGGGTGGTATTTGACAAGACACAGTGGACTAGTTTCAAGAATGCGTATATCATATATATATAATATATGAGAGACTTGTTCAAAAGCTCACCTGAAGAGGTAATGTCAGTAAAAACCAAGAAATCAAACAGTTTCATTTGGGCCTTGTTGCATGGGCTGCGATGCAAGGGGGTCAGAGACTCATGCTACTGCAGCTACTTCCCCTAGGCAAAAGTTCTTCACTCCTGCTGAGGATCACGTGCACTCATAGAGTTTCACGATGTACAACCAGCTGTATCTAGGAGGGCCAGGAAAAGCACGTTTCAGAGACCGTTTGGTATGCCTGCAGTCGTATACTTTTGGACGACCGTCCCCCCGAGAGAAAGTCGCTTCCAGCGGGGAGAGGGGAACCAACGTTTTGACATGATCTCAGTATTGATCTATTGCTTTGAATGAACATCAGAAAAGTTGTGTAGAAACAGTTAGTTTTGTTCTTCTAAACTTCATCACAGATGTTTGACTTCGAGATGAACGTACATACTGTGATCTTCCAGAGACCCAGTCAGTTGGGTTAGTCCAGATGCGTCCTGAATGGGTGGATGTGAGAACATCGGTCGGCAGCTGCGGTTTGAACAGCGGCGCTGTTGGAAGCTTAAGCAACAGGGAAGATCATTGTACAAACGCTTTGTCTTTTTTCCAATTCCGTTTGCAGAGTCTGGGAGGATCTGGGGAAGATGGGTTCTTTTAGATTTGGTCGTCCTGAGTCCTGGTCCCAGTTTTTTTTTGTGGAGAAACCAATGCTGTTGGTTGTCCTGGTCTAGGCTTTCATCCAGGTCTGGCCTTTGAGATTTCAGGGTTCATTCCAGGTCTGGGCTTCACATTATGGAACGAGCCCCTGCTAAATGCAATAGACTAAAAAACACGGCCAAGTTTGCGTAACTCCTCACATCGTCTTTCATTTTCTAGAGATTCCCACGGCCTCAATATGGCTAGCATGGCACACCTCTCCTTTGAAGTGCTCCCATCCAGCAACAAACCCACCACTCCGTCCATTTGACACCGAGAATTGCCCAGACTCTCATTGGTCCTGAATCACCCTTTGCTTCGGTAGTGAGGGACAGAACACACTCTCAGAAGGTACCTTTCATACAGTTGCAAACGACTTTCTGCCAGGACCTTCAAAGTGACCAAACTTGATCTCCCAGAACGAGGTCACCAACAGGCCTGTTTTACAGCTTACAACCAGAGACTCCCATTAAGGTCACGAACTGAAAGCCCTGGGTGGAAAAGACTTGATCCGATTCCTTCGATTTTGGTGTCTATTCAGTCCTACTCCAGATCCTGTGAGCCGGCAAACCTAAGCTTTGCCTGCGCATCATCCCAACTTTTATCGGATGTCCGGCAGAGCTGGGACCAGTGGTATGGGGTCGTGTGCGGAAAAAAGAATCGTGAATGCTTGCGATGTGTTTCAGGGAGACAGGAAGGGTCATGACATAACAAAAATTGCTTGCTCCAGATGGAGAGCGGCAACGATTTGCCCCTCATGCTGGTGTGTTCTTCCTCAAACCTGGTCTATTTCGGGGGCGATGCTGGGTCCTTCGAAAGCTGCCCTGGTCCTGCTTCTATCCCGGGCTTGATGCCCTGTACGAGTAGCCAGTCCAACTGAAGGTGCCAGTGGTGTAGCCAGCAATTATGCACCTCGAGTCTACCAGGAACTTGTACCTCACAACATGGGAAAACGTCCTACCTGTTGTTGTACATGTATTATTGAGGTCAAAGGATCCCCTGACATCGGTCCAGTCTGACCGTCCTTAGCGTCCCTCTTCCGTGACCGTGGTCGGATCCCGACCCGAGGGCCTCGGGGGTCGAGGGCCGAGGCTCAAAGAGTTGGAAGATCCGTGTAAAACCTGTACCAGGACACCTAAGGGGTGGTTAATGGACAGCCCTTAACCTCTAAGGGGTTATTATTAGACACCCCAAACCGGGGGCCCTGGTGTATGTAGTCCTAATATATGTATGGTCCCGGACTGAAAGATAGAATCACGTCGGCTCGTACACAGTGCTCCACCTCACACTTAGAACCACGTTCTCCACGAGGAAAATCGCCTTTGTAGGATTTTGTAGGCATATAACAGCAAAATGGAACGTATTCCACCTACACTTAGAATGGGAGGTCGTCACGAGAGATTTTTGGCCCGTCTTGGCGTGCTCAGGGTAAATAGTCCCTCGTGGGGCCATGAATGGTGAAGTTCTAAGTGTGTCACACTTAAAGTGCGTTTTAAAGTGAACGTTTGGGGAAATACCGGACTGCAAGATAGAATTTGACGTGGTTCAAACTTGTGTGACCGGTTTTAACTTGTTTGACCTAGACATGGTTGTATGTGTAGACCGTTTTGGGGGGCGGACGCCCACACGTCGGGGTTCTATCTTTCAGTCAGGGAATAGATATACACACCTGTAATTAGCCTCAAAGTACCTCACCCAATTAACATACACAGACACACAAAGAGGTACTGTACTTGGAGACTGCTAAGATTTGGAGTGTGGACCCATCTTCTTCGGTGCTAGGAGGGTCTATGAAACACATCAATTCACGCAAAAAGGGTGGGCCCACGCTTAAGCCGCTGCCATTGGTCACCAGGAAGCCCCAAAAAGTCGTCGGATGTCAGTGACGGAAGCCGCACGTCCAATCTCTTAATTCATGCATGGATAGATACCCTACAAGCCTAAACCCTGGAAATCTATAGGGTCTGAATTCATACCTCGGGTATTCGTGAGTTCACAAACATCGGGTTCACAGGCAAACAAAAATGGCAACGGTTGGAAGTTTCCATGCAGCATGTCAAATCCAGAATATGCCAAACATGGCAAACCTGGGGTTTGCATTCAAGACCTCGGGTTTCGAGGCACGCCCTACGTTTTTCAAAGGTATGGGCTGGGCTCCTAAGGTAATTAATGAAGATGTGCCAAGCCTATTTTCCGAGCAGTCAACCAAGGCCCTAGGCCTTATTATAACATGGGACATAGCGAGTCTTGTTTCATAACTCACAGCTCTCCACGTGTTCAAGAGTCAGCTGGGCCAGCCAATCATTTTGAGAGTTGTGTTATGTTTTGTTGATGCTATTTGGACATTTCCATTTGGCAACACCCCCAACATCCCCTAACATCCCCCACCACAAAATCCTTGCTTTTGGACGCACCCCTGCACCACCACTCGATCAGAGCCTTAATATGCTCTAGACTTCCAAGACCATTTGAAACCGGATTGACCTGGTTCTGCACTGAATCTGAACTGGTTCTGTAAAAGAATGGTTTGTTCGAGATTCGAACCATTCAATCAAGCTATATATGAGATACCCTCGCCCTCTGACAGGGTGATGTCTTCGACACTTGGCCGACGTCGTGAGGGTCCAGTTGTACTGAACCGAAGAAGGCAGTGGCTCCCCAGAAGGAAGGGTGCTCAAATCCCAGCCTATGGGTGTGTATTAGAATAGGGTGACCCCTCAAAGACCTCTGGGAAAATCAAAAACAGACCAAATCCATTGGTTATAGGAAGTCCCCCTACAAATACAACCCCCGGGTATATATGGCTAGCTCATGCTAGCTCGTTAGAACACCAGGAACCAGTCACACCGTCTCAGTGCCGACTTCGGGGTCTTCCAGGTGGAGGCCATGGACTCCAGGGTCTTTCTCTTTGATGACCTTTTCGATGGTGAGGCGCGCCGCTGAATGGACCATGCCCCGCCATGCCCCGGCCCATCCGGCGCCGCAGATCAACCCGTCTCCGAAATCCATCCGACTCTCTTCTAAGACCTGGGTTTCGTACTGGAAGGTACTTACAAGTCAGACCCTCCGAAAATACCCAAACAATTACTTTACTTCGAGTGATCCCCACCATGACATTTCATACATGGTAATTATATTTCCTCATATGAGAAACTGATAGATGAGTAAAGCAATAATGCAAGCACGTTCCAA